ATTACCACAAAACTCACTGAAATTACCACCACTTCTTAGACCACAGCACTGCAAAAATTAAACGTTGTACATATAAATTCAATTGCTTTAATTTGATTTGATTGATTGGTTTGATTGGTTGTTCTAATCCGATGCAATATACAGCCTTGGCCAAAAGTTTTAGGCACCCCACTAAATTACAAGTATTCTCAAATGTGGCTATCATAATTACCACTTCTTTTTGTAAATGTCTTACATGGATGTTAAGCTGTTGGTTAAACTAATAAATTGTGTAATATTAAAAGTCATAGCACTCTGGGTAAGCTAAACCTAAAAATTGTCATTTTTGAGAAATTCATAAAATATTTTTTTCGGATTTAAAATTTAGTGAAAAGTTACCATTCTTATAAAAACAGCTCATATATACCGAAATGTCTAAAAAAGTGAAATTACTTTCGGTGATAGAATAAGAATTCAAGTTCTAAGTAAAGCAGGTAAATCTCAAGTTGAGATTGCCAATTTGGTGGGATGTTCGCGGTGCGCGGTCCAATGTGCTATCAGGAGACAAAATCCCACAATAAAAAATCAGAAAGTGGAAGAAAGCGTCTAACCAGTAAATGAGAAGACCAAATTCTTATACGCGAGTCGCTCAAGGATCGCAAAAAATCTTCTTCTGCCCTTGCAGCTGCCCTTTCGGATGAAATAAGTAAACGAGTTAGTGCTCGAACAGCTGGAAGAAGCCATAGCTTCTTACCCAAGAGCAATTTTGAAGACATTATTTTTATGAAAACATGATTTTTTCTTTTCTACAGATATTTGGAACGCCTGGTGTGGCGTTCGTGAGGCGAAGGGTTGGGGAAGACTATCATACATATTGTGTGGTACCCACTGTTAAGCATGGAGGAGGCAGCATTGTGATCTGGGGTTGCATGGCTGCTGATGGTGTCGGAGAAATGGTCCCTTGCGAGGGTCGCATGAATAGTCAAAAGTACATAAATGAATTAGAAGCTGTTTTTCTGCCTTGGTTAACGCGCATTTTCGGCGATACTAGTTAAGATGGGGTTCAATTTCAGCAAGACAATGCTCCTTGTCACAAATTAGCGACTTCGATGCGTTGGTTTCTAGATAACACCATTGTTTTGTTAGATTGGTCTGCACAGCCTCCAGATCTTAATGTGGGCTATTCTAAAAGGCAAGATTTAGGAACACAGTATAACATCAAAAACTGCTTTAGAATGTTTTAATTAACGAGTGATACGCTATAAGTGCGGACGAATGTGCAAATATTAACGTTATTATCACTAATTCATTGTATTTTCACTGTTTTACTAATAAAATTTCATTACTTTACTTGTTAAAACAACAAATTCAATATTTAGAAGGGAGCCAAATACTTTTGGTCAAGGCTGTATCTTCACTCATTGAGTTCTTTTATTTGATCCACAATGCAGATGCTTCAAACGGAAAACAACGTGTTAATATTAATGAAAATAATTGTCGGGTTCGGTGTGGTGATGAACTTAGTGCTGCATCTGCAAGTGTAATTATCATCTTCCAATAAATGTAACTCACGACAGGCATCAAAGAAAGTATTGCAAACAATATCATTCACTGTTCGCAAAGATTGGAAGGATGTCGGTCCAGAGACGTTTTTTAACAACAAACGTAGAAAAAAGCATTCACGTTGCTTAGAATGAATAACATAATTCAACGTTTATGTGAGTTTTACACAACAATGGTGAATGTGGAAGTACCCAACGATTATCAATATCTACTTTTACACCATTTGACAGACGCTGCTCTTATGACTGAACTCCATTGTCAACGTTTCTACGACTATAAGTTGGATTGCCCCCCATGGTTATTTATCCTCTCACCAAATCAAAACATGCGCATTTGGTAATCCTCGTTTTTGCCATTCTACAGAGTAAAGTCAGCATCGTGTTTCTCCAAATGCTGAGTGATAAGTGATCAAATTTATTAAATATATTAATTTTTGTTTGAACACGCGTGCAGTGACATCGTTGCGATGCATCGATGTTTGACCTTGCAATAGCAAATTTCTAATTTCATCCATACAAGTCACAGCGTTGCCGATAATGGCGTCACGCAAATGAGCGCATTCCTCAGAACGAAGTTTTGCTTGATTAAACTTTATGTATCGTATTCTCTCATTTTCAATTTTCGCATACATATCGACAATATACTGATGAAATAGCTGTCGTCATCGGAGAATGTTACCTTCATTTGCACGAATCATCAACCAGTATGCTTCGAAGTTCATTGCACTAACTTTCTTGGCCAGTACTTCGCCTGTAGTTAGATTACTTTGTTTGATATTTAAATGATATCCATCTTTCCAAAATATCTGCGGATCCTGCAGTGCATCATAAGAACGATAATTGTCTTGAATTATTTGCACTGCATTATCTCTGCGTTGTATACGTATATCTCGACGTTCAGTTCAACAGCCATAACAATTGCAACTTCATTCTCAGTTGGAACGTTATATGTGCCTGAATGCTCTCCACCTACTTTTCGGCTTTAATGACAATGACGCAGTTGTCGTTTTACAGTCTGTTTGAAAGAGACTTGAATAATCGTACTAAGTGGTTATTGTTTTGCAAGAACGTTTCCAAATTTTAAACGATTTCTCACTCCTCCATCTACTCTAAACGATTCTATGCACAGAGTGTGTTAGCTTGTTTTTCCTCATCGGACAAGAAGTAAATTTGTAAAATTTTTGGATCGGCGTCAGTCGTTGGAAGCAATAAACCTATTTGGTGGTAAACTTGGCCTTGAATCTTTAATGTAGACTCGAAATGACGACCATTTTCATAATGAATAATATTTGTTGCTCCGAATGAGATTTGATTGAGATGTGTTTCCAGCTGATGGCGTTTTCAAAGGTTCTGGTGGCGGCATCAGTGATGGAAACGAAATTTTTTTGGATGCGCAACATAAATCTGTAAATCTGCCACCTTTGCATTTAAAAGCATGACAATATTGACATTTTTTGTCTATACTAGCAGTCATAATTAGCGCATGTGATGAATAGTTTGTTTCAGGATTATGTTTAAACGCAAGACGATTAAATGATGCTCGTGTCAATGCTCGATGATTTTGGATCCACTGTCGGTGAGGGTCAGTCGCTTGTTGGCGTGCCTTTCGGTGCTTTAATGTAATTGATACGAATACATTTATTTCATAGCTCTGAATACCCATTTGCACTTGGGTTTGCTATTTGTTCTCTAATATTGGCATTAGTTGTCTAGTGCTCTCGTTCTGTTCGTTCGGTGGTTGCGGACAATTTACGCTCTATGAGAACGTCGACCAATATTTCTTGCTCTTCCGCGAAGACGAGGCTTTTTTTTGTAGAAGTAATATACTATGAAAAAAACTAAACAACCAATGTTGATAACTTCTAGAAGTGAAAGTTTACAGGTCTAAACTTTAAACTTTAATTTATTGTAAATATAATTTTATTTCTTTGAAATTGTATCTCTGGTTTCTAAAAAAATTTAAAAAATGGTTGGTTGGGATAGTTTTGTGGCCTAGGAAAATTTTATGAAGGATTATGCAAAATATTATATGTAACAGTAACAAATTTCAAAATAAATTGTTTCAAATATTTCATATCCTTAAGAAGAAAGTAATAGATGTACCAAATTGTGTTCAGCCGAACTGTTCTTATGAATCTTCATTCAGATATGTATTGTATAGAGCATAGCAGTATGAGTGTTTAGAGTACCTGGCAGGACTGTAGTGCCGTCTGCCAGAATTCTATGTAATAGCCTATTTCCACAAAGCCTTAAATGAATTTAAGGCTTCTGTTAAGTGAATGAATTGTCAATCGTTTCCACCGAAAATGAGTTAACACAAACAGCTGATTTAAGTTTACATTTGCAGTTTGCGAAATGTGTCACAAGTATTGAAATCATGAATCCAAAAGACCGCATTCATTTTATTTGGCTATTTACGCAGTCTTATGATTTGCAAGTGTAAATTATTTCTGCACGGGCAAACGTTGCTGAAACGAAAATGCTTTTATGCATGTTTCCATTTTTACATCTGCTTGTTTGTTCCCTCAAATTATATATTTTGCGAAATCAGCCGATAGCTGCCACAGTCACGCATTTTTTTATATTGAGGGGATTCTTTGAAATTCTACAATTGCTTTGTTTGTTTATTATTGTATATTTTGAAAGAGGATGAAGCATTCTCTTTGCCAATTTTTGTTAAAACTAATGCAAAGAAATAATTGTTTCAGACAAAATTTCACCATGCAAAATAAAAGTTTCGCCCATCATTAAATCCGAAAATACACGACTCTGGCAAAAAATATACCGAAATGATTACATTAGTAGTGACAGCAACGACTGTTAACATAACGTTTGCTGCTAGATTACTGAAAGTGAGTTAACTCAATTTGATACAACAACTTTTATACAACAACAACTTGGGAATTCACGCATTTAAATCCGATGTTTAAATGCATTTAAGTTAATATGCATTAAGTTAAAATGCATTTAACGTCCGGTGGAAATAGGCTGCAAAACGTTTAAATATCAACAATATCTGGCATGACTGCAGCGCCGTCTGCCGAAATTCTGTGTAAAACATTGTAATATCAATAACAATTTATAAATAAATAAACTCATTTTAAAAACATTATCTAGTTAATCGAATTGTTAATTTAAACCACCCTCAAACTCCGTTGAATACCACTAAAAATCGGTCCCGACGTTTAGTAGGAGTTCAATTACAAACTCATCGATTTACTTTTGCTTCAATTTTGATTTCTTTTGCGTTGAATTTTTTTATTACTTTCAGTCATTAATAGTTCATTATTGTGTATAAAAGAGGAAGATATACACACATTATTTCTCAAGCTTGAGTTGAACTTGACCTAAGAGAATTTTTTTTTTTCTTATGTGTTATGGGCTATAATTGTTGTTAAATATTTTTTTCCTTTTCTTCTTTCTCGTTATTCATTCTTTATATTTAATCCGTGTGTGCCCACATGATTAAAATAATTAGATATAGAAAGCGCAAATGCAAAAATAACGTACCTTGGATTCGTAAGCTTCTGTTTTTTGTGTGTAACCATATTCATCTTTTGTTTCCTCAACCGTCAAGTATTGGGAAATTTTTTTTTGGGGTTGATATGGCGAGAGTGTTTGCTTATAACTGAATGGGCTTGGATTATTGCGTGCTGCCTGTTGTAGCTTTGTTTGCGATTCTGAGAGATTTTGTTGTTGTTTCTGTTCTTGTAGTTTTTGTTGGTGTATACGATTTTCTTCAGCTAAATGCTGAGCAATCAGTTGCTGTTGGTGTATTTTCTGGGTCAAATCTTTTTGCTTTTCGAGTAGCTCTTTTTGTTGCCGCTTCAATAAGGCAATATTTTCTTGCTCTATATTTGAGTCAATATCCGAGTTTCTAATATTATTCCCACAATCATCCTGAATTTTTAATTAAAACTTTATATTATTTATAAATAATTTAATTAATTAAACGTTTTCGAAATTAATTTGGTTACAGTTTCTGATGAAAAATTAGCATTAGTGTTATTATTAATATAGCCATATTTTCAGCCCGCACACACCTCCGCTCCTTCGCACTAGTGGCGAAGTCCTCTAAAGTAAGAAACATTTACCCATATTTTTCATTAACCCCAAGACATTTCGAGCAGGATTTGTTAAGTGCCGTGCTATACATCCGTGTTCCATAATAATAGTAAAATAGAATCATAAGGCGTCTCGTTAGGTAAGGCGTGGCGAAATTCTTATGTGAATCAGTTTTAAAGCTTAATAACCATTAGTTACGAAAATTACCTCTGTTAGCAAGTTAGATCTATATAGCTTACCTACACATATGTAAGATTGCAAAAAACACATGCCTTTATTTATATACAATAAATCATACCTTCTGGGCTTGTCGCACCTCTTGTTGTTTTAGCTGCTCCGTATTAACTTGATCTTGCGACTCTTTTGGTTGCACAGCTGAAGAACCCAGGGTTGTGTGTTCATTGACTACTGCCTGTGATATTGACATGCCCAGGTACAAACACGAAGAGTTTTGCATAATATAAAAAATTAAATAAACTTGCGATTAGTATTTTCGTATGTCATACATATTGTTAATAGTACTTCGGTGTCCTTATAGTCAACAGCCGCTGCGACGATAGATTCATCATCAACCTTTATGAATACTCCTTCTTCTCCCTCTGTTATTTCCGATTTCACTAATTCGTTTTCTTTGACGTTCCCACTTTTTTTAAACTGTTCTGGCTGAGGTTTTTCCATCATTTGCTCATTTATGACCACACCGGTACTAGTTGGTGTCGGGAGGGTTACGATTACTTCCATCGATTTATTACCTTTCTCACTGCTCTCTTCGGCAACTCTTTTAGGATCCTTTGCCATCTTTGCCGTGTCGACAAAATCACTGTAACTATCGTCTTTTTTATCTTCGCTCTGTACTTCGACTTTTTTAAGAATTATTTCGGTCCCATTTTTTTCTCCTGGAATAAATTCAACAGCATTTACATTTTTGTTATCGTCGAAACACTGTTCGATTTTGGCTTTCGTGTCGATTTCTTCAGCTTCAGTTTCATCGGGCGTTTTAAGATTTACATTAAGTACCTAATTATAAAAATCAAAATTCGCAATGTTTAAAAATATACAGTTTGATAAAAAATTTTGATTCTACGTGTGTATGTATGCACGTATGCGTGTAAAGTTATAAGAGAAACTCACTTCGCACGAATTGGTTGATAATTCAGAATTACTGATTATTTCACTTTCAACTGTTATTATTTATTATTTGTTTATGGTAATATGAGTTTAAAAACCACAGCAAGTATTCTCCTTCAGGCATTTAAGAAACTCTGAATCAAATTTGACATTCGTTGCAATGAGGATTATGAGAAATGTTGAATAAGTGTTAGAACATTGAAGAGTATTTGAAATAATTTTCATCGAGCTCTAAATTTTTAAAATAATTTTGCAATACTACCATGTTCTACTTTAAATTGATATTTTTCCGGGTAACATGAAACAACATCGATGGAAATAGTTTCAATTGATTTGAACGAAATACAATCAATTGACTTCTAAAAAGAGAACTGAGGTCCGATGACTTTATTGCTTTTTCAAAAATTTTATTTGAATGACAATTCGGCTGTCCGGGCCTCGGCACGCCTGCGAACCCCGTCATCAATTTTTAGTTAATGCAGGTACACGTATATTACACATAAAGCCATTAGCCGTTCGGAGGCATCTTACTATAAACTCCATTTGTTGTAAAATAAACCCAAGACAAAAACCACAAATCTGAGGAGGAGCTCGACCGAAAATCGCTTCACAGGTTACAAAGTTGCAATTATATATATCATTTGACATTAATATGTACTATAAAGGAAATACGCGCCGATGATACTCATTAATAAATTTACCAAAGAAACCGGCAAATATTTTTTATGGTGACGTATTTTAAGTACTTGAGTTCGGAAAAATCAGCAGTTACTTCATTTTCAATCTTTTTTTTTTGCTTTTTTATTTCATTTTGAATCAATGAAGAGTTTTTGTCAATTAATCTCATAAATGGGTATCAGTACTCGCTGTACAAGTCAAATCATATGTACAATACATATATATGTATGTGTATATGCATATTATATATTACTCACCAAGTCGAGCCTATGGCTAAGCTAAGAAATCACATATATATGAGTAGGTATTCTTGTAGAAAATTAAACGCCCTACTGAAAAATTATTAAAGGGTATAATAAGATTATTTAGGTTAAGCTGGTTTAACCGACATTCAGTGGTTATTAAGTTCAAAACAATCTCTCTGTAGCCTACGTATTACTTTTTTGCTTACACACAAATAGCTGTTCAGTGATATTTATTTTCCCTTCAAATAAGCTAATAAGATGCCTATGCAAGTCTTAAAAATCAAATTTTATAATTAAAAGAAAAATTCAGCTATCTATTTGGTTATTGTCGAATACAAATTCATATTTTAATTTTAATAAAACTTAGTAACTATTTCTTTTATTATTTTTGAATTTTTTAATTTTTCTTATTCAATTAATTGTGGCAAAGGTCTAAAGTCATTCCTTAAATGTATATTCACTGTTAACGAATTCCACAAACTGTTCAAGCAAATCCGTGATTCAAGGCTGAAAAAACCACCAACTTTCCAGGTGCAAAGATCCTTTGAAGTTTCTTTAGATCCTCAATCTCAAAATGTGGCATTATGGTATGCGCATTCTTGACCCTAGTTTCACCAATTTGGTTAGTGTTGCATCCAAGAAGATTATATTTTTGCAAAGAATACAACAGCTGATCATGTAAGGCATTACATTTCTTCAAGATTAAATAGTAGCAACTGAAACATTCGTACATTCATTGATAATTATGAAAGAAATTTATGGTCAATCAAAATTTATGTTACTGTTGATTCATTTCAGTTAATTGTTAACATAAAGTGCAGAGCTACGCCGTATCAAAGTTTACTTTAAGCAATCTTTTATTATTATCTATTACTATTGTTCGGATGTTAGATTTACTTTTCTTCAATTTTTTTAAGGTTTTCTTTGATAAGTCTAAATGCAGTAATTTATTAATATTTATTGAAAATTTGTTTAAAGAATAACTGCATATATTGTATGTTGTATTTGCATTGAGTAATAAGCATGAACAGACTGTCTGAGTGGATTGCTTGTAAGCACTTGTGAACCATGACACAAGTGGATAATTACCCTCAAATAGCCTAGAAGAAAACATAGAAAAGTTAAAATCCAAATATAATTACTGTTTGCTACTTCTTGAATGGGGATTCGCGGTTTTATCTAACCTTTAATACAGCCTATTTTTCTCAGTAAGAATTAAGCCGTTGAAATTTTTTCAAAAGAAGACGTAACCACCAATTTTCTTAACTAAATTACAATAAAAACGTCGCAATTAACAACAGCTTTAGTAATATCATTTCATAACTTTAATTTTAGAGCCTGTTCCAAACGTGAAAGCCGGTTCTAACTCGATTCTAATTTATGATATCATCACCCCAGTCTGTGTTCGAACATGCAACTAAAATAATTTAGTACCCAATAACTTTAAAAAAGTCTTGGATTCAGAGTATGCTACGATGCATTTCTAAGAAGAAGAACCTATTATCTTGCTTAAAAGGTAACTTATGGAATCATGGACAGTCTTAGGCTGATTGTGTGTTATCTATATGTGGTTATATTGTCCTTTTAATTTCTCGCAAGTTAACATAAAAATGTTAAATCAAGAAGTACCAAACTAGATCTGTCCAGACTATAATGGCAATGCGGAATAAAAGTATTATAAATTACTTGAAATTTTTTTTACCAAAACGAACTGATATTTCAACCCAATTGAACATTTTTTTGTTTCATGATGGAATGAAATACATATTTTAAAAAGTAGCACACTTTTAAAATGCTTAAGGAAAACCCGCATATATATATTTATATATGTATATACTTAACGCTTTGTAACCGCTATAGCGATTTTCGGCCGCGCTCCCACTCCAATTTGTGATTTTGCGTCGTAATGTTTTACCTGCCTGGCAATGGACAGAAAATATTATTTTACATATGGTTTAAGCCGCTCACGACCAATTGCCCTCTAGATAGCCAAAAAACACCCGTTTGGAGACACGCTAGTGAGTAGGATATTTTTCCAATGGCTGTGGGTGGGGTTGGAACCTACCACATTAAAAAATTTGTTCCAATGAAAAATAAACGAAAGCCTTGGCTAACAGACCCCACTTTTGATGATGATCCTCCTTTTGATGACGGCCTCCGCATATATTTTAAGGACAAGGATTTACGGAATGCACTTGGAACCTCTGATCCCTTAATTGGGAAGGGGCCACTGTCCAGGTGGTTGATGTTCTCGATAAACGTGTCAAAGATGGAAGAAGGTAGGTACTTGTGAGATATGCTACAGCGAGCATATAAAAGAGGGTAAATTTGGTGTTGGTTTTGTGGTGGGAGAGTGACTCCGTGGCCGAGTACTGACTTTCAATCCAGTGGATGAGCATCTCGCCGCAACCCACCGAATTGAAAATTTCGCCGATTTGCGACCACGCACTGATGGAAGAGAAGCACGGGGTAACCAAGAACGCTTTCTGTGAGCGCGTATAACATGCCTTTGAAGGCTTCCCCCGACACGATGTGAAAATTGTATTTTGCGACTTTAATGCCAGAGTGGCCAATGAAGATATTTGGCAGACTATCGGGAAATTCAGCTTCCATGATGAAAGATCCTGAACACCTAGCGAATAATCATTGTCTGTAGTACTAATTTACCGCACAAGAAAATACATCAAGAAACGTAGATGTTGCCGGATCGAAAATCGGGCAATCAAATCGATAATATTGCGATAGATGGAAGACATGTTTTCAGCGTTCCAGATGTGCTTACGTTCCGGAGACCTAACAGCGGTTCGTATCACTATCTTGTCGCATCTAAGGTATACGATGTCTTTTATGTCCCACGGACTTCCGTCAACATACAAAAGGATGATTTGATATCGAAAAGCTGCAATAGCAACAAGCAGCCGAACGGGTTTCTTCTCACATTGCACGCCTGCGTTTTCAGAGCATCCATCAGCATCAGAGAATGATACTATTAGACGTTTTTAGAATCCGACCTAAGTAAATACCTTTTGCTTTGAATGCTCTCCCCGTATAAGCTTAGTTAGGGAGAGCAATGACTCAATACCAAAAATGAAAAGGCTCTAGGGAAGTTTTGCTTCTGTGTTATTGTTAATAAATTTGGGATTGACGAACGAACATTGGATGACTGGAGTGGACATCACTTTTAAAGAATTAACTTAATTTAATATGCATCGCTGTTCATTTGACGATACTGGGTGTAAGTAGGCAACCCTAAACGAACGAAAGGGACACTCAAATCGGACGTTAGACAACCGAACAGAAAGAGTAAGTTTAGTTTGAAAAACCCAATCGAACCGATCGGACATGCCCAAAGTATATTTTTAAACTTACTAAATAAATATTTTGTTAAATATAAAAGGGCATTTTATATAGTTTGCGCAGCGGTAAGATAAATCCCACAAAACTGGGTGCTCAACCGGGATCACCGCCGTTTATTTGCTCAAAGTTAGTCAACTTTTTCATGTAATTCTCGGCACCAAGAGTAGCGGTACTTAGAGACAGGCATAGCGCAAAGCGTTGGCGCAGGGTAAAGGAAGCTGCACAGTGCGTAGGCAGAGCACAAGCTGTACCAGGCAGCAAAATCATAGACGCGGCAGAAGCAGAGTATTTTCAAACGTTAAATTCAATTGAGCTTCCAAGCAAACATCATACAAGTGCCACCGAGTTGCAAGAGAGTTAAAGAGCGAGCGATATTCCAAGTTCGACGGAGTTAGAGTTGAATTTCCAGTTGCTGTGCTGAAAGATTAAAATCATTTTGAGAATTTAACTATTAAGCAGAGTAGAGTTTTTTGAGTGAAACCAAGAGTGGTAAACAATTTCATTTGAATAAAGAGTACGTGTATGTATATATAACCATCTATTTTGAAGTGAGTTAATGTAAATCTCATCAGTAATTCTGTAAAGCTAATTAAAAGAATTTTGAGTTTT